ATTGGGATTAGTATTAGGGAGGAGAAAAATGAATTAGTATCCTGTCAGTGATGACATCGACTACGTGCCATCTTCACTAATTGATGCAACACATTTTAGAGTGGTAGAATGTTGCACAGAACATTATGAAAAATATTGCTTCTGACTTTAGCGAAAGGAATTTTTGATGAAAGGATATGTGTAAAACTCACCGAAACATATTGTGCATATAGCTATCACAGCGAGACCAGATGTGATTATCCTAAGGGATGAGACACGATCGGATGCAACACCGAAGACGAGCTTCGATAAGGTGAAACAAAGAGCTTGTGCTGAGACGAGTTGCCCTAAGAGGTCGACTTGAGTGGATGGATTCGAAAAAAAGCAAGTTTAAGATGCTAGCCTTCTGCTAGCCATGCTGAATGATGAAGCAGACCGACTATCCTGAGCATTGATTTATTTACATTGAAGATCAAATAACAACAAAAGAGGTGAAAAACTCTGAACGAGATCGTTCAGCGCGGTTCAAGCTAAGATTCAGACAAATAACGACGAGGGATAACAACATTCATGCTTCATTTTATGAAGAGCTCATGATACAAGCGACATACGCGACTTGACTAGAAACAAAATAATTCATCACCCTCTCGGCTAGCGCGGAGAGAAAACATCAAAGTGACGAAGGTGTTAAAAAAACTGAGCTTCACGTAAGGCAGGTGTACATTCTATTTAACGCTTAAGTAAAAGTAGACCATATTTTTCTTCAAAAATATTCATATACAGTGATACATGTCACAGAATTTAGCCGTAAAACGAAACCTGTACAAAAAATAGAGCGAAGATAAGACAATGAAACTAAAAGACCTCCTCGCTCTTCCGCGCTCGTAACAAATCGCAGAATAACTCGTAAAACAAGAAAGCACAACCGGAATTAGCAGCCGCTTTGATTTGACTCGGCCAAAGTCCTTTGAATAAACCATAGATGGATTCATTGCGGACAACCAGCACCATAGTTCGTAGCATACCAATGCGATAATCTGATGAACGACCAAACCCTTGCCGTTCAAATCCGTTCATCTGCAGGCGATGACGAACCATATCGAGAGGGTAAAGCACCTGAACAT